CTTCCAGCCTACACGTGGGAAACAGCCAAAGGACAGAAATACTTACCAGCGAAGCAGGGCTATCTCCCGGTCTGATGGCAAACCTATGTCGTGCCAGGCGTGTCTGTCCTTCCAAACAGTTGGGATTCGTCAGAAATGATTGAAAGCAGAGACACGCAGGATATGCCTAGCATGTCATTTTCTCAGACATACCAAAAAATAGCTTTCCGTAGTGCAACTGCGCGTACGGCTTTGCAAGGCTTGTTGTCAGAAGCGTGTTTAAATGTGAGGTATTGAAACATGAGGAAAATTTCAGCATAAAGTGAAGCGTACTGAAAATGTAAGTGTGTTATTGTCTATTTAGGATCTGATTCTGTTCTCCATAAGCTCCCTGGGCATCAGTGGGGACTGTTTGTAGAGCAAAACACTGCTCGCTACCACTTTTTGCTGAGATTGGCAAGATCAGGCTCCTTCTGCTTACTTGTAAGCAAAGCAATTAAAAGCAAATCCAGAGTCGACTGCCAGTGTTCTTCTTGAGAGTGGAGGAAAAGGGGAGGGAGGAAAAGGAGCAACATGATTTCTCTCTCAAGGATGAGCATTACTGCATCTGTCATTGACCCATGGTGTATTGGCAGGTGATAACTAGAAAAGAGAACTGGGCAAATTTCCAACGAGTAGCTGTAGATGGTAGTAAAAATGCAATCTGGCTGCTGTGGCTGAAATAAACGGTCATTAGGGCTGATTAAAGTCAGATTTAGGGTGATTCAAACAAGCTAAAAGGGGGAAACCACAGGCGCTTTCACATAGTTTATTATATACTTGTGGAGTTATTTATATGATTCAGTCTAGTACAGTCAAAATGAATATGTTTATAGATTGTAGTCGGCTTTGGAACAATGCAGGTGATTTTTGACGGAAAAAATTTAGAAGATTTTAAAGCATTGACTTTCTTTTGTAGCTCTTGCCCTGGTCAGTGATGCTGCAGGTTGCTTTTAAAGATGCCTCACTTACCTGTCAAGAGAAGATGCTTGTTTGGAAAATCACTGTGGCTGCTGTGGGGGCTGGCTAGCACTGTAACAAACTTCTAAGAAGATTTTGGCCTGACTGAAACAGCATATTTTGATTGACCAGAGCAAACTTGTAAAAATATTTTAGAACTATTAAAAGTATCACAGAACAAAACTTTTGAGGATTGCCTGGATTCAGCATGGCAAGATATTTTGAAGTTTCAAAATGTTCACGGGGCAGGAAAGATGTTTTCCAGTAGGATTTATTTGTATAACTGTGAGCAGCAAATCAGCTCCCATTCGTTAAGCTGGAGTAAATCTGTCGTAAGTGACATCAAAAGCAGGCTTACTGCATTACATTTATTTGCTTCAGTCCTCACAAAATCAGTAGATGGAGAAAATGATTCTTTTCCCATTGTGATACCGACAGGAGCATCTTGCATTTCTCTGATCTATTCCTTGCCATTACCTTGACAGACTTTATGTACTCTGTGTCAAGCTACGTGTACGTATGCAAAAGTGTAAATTTATGGCTGCATTTATAGTATTAGGCAAGTATTTATTGGTTTTAAACACCATTAGTCTGGAAATCGACCAGAACTTTGACCTTTTTATGATGTGATTTACTGCCATGAGCCTTCAAATTCCATGGACTCCATTTAAGCAAGTTTCAGGTCTTGGCAGGACAAAAACCTGAGCTGGAGCTGTCTTTAAACCAGTGGAGTATTGCTTAATTGAGCAAGTAACTGCTCACAAGTAGTGACCAAGATGATAATTTAAAGGCATAGGGGAAGCCCAAGCTCTCCTTTGGGCTGGGGCTGATATTGCTGGGGCACATCTTGATGGAGGGGCATCCTTCAGGAGCATCCTTCTAGTTCATGTGAGAAGAGTGCATTTCTTCACAATTTGTACAAATAAGGGCTAAGGGGTCAGCTCCCTAATTTGTTGCTGTGTAAACAAGAGATTCCAGGGATATTTGCCTTCACCATGCATACGGGAAAGGCAGCTACCTTGCTCTGCTCGATGTAAAGTGAGTTTTCAAGAGAAATGCGGTTTCCTCAAACCAGGGCTTGGTTGGTGTTGCAGTGAGTTTTTTATCAGTTCTGACTGTAACAGTTTAAGAGGAGATCCTGTGTGGGCTTCCTGGGGCAGTGGGAGTGCCTGGCTGGTTTGGGAGCATGAGCCAGGGTGCGGGGCTATCATGTGTCCCACGCTCTGCTCCTTGTGGCCACCTTCCTGTCTAGATGCTCCTGGGGGAAGGTGCTCCTGGCCAACCATCCCTGCTGCCTACCTCACAAGCAGGGAGAGGGGCTGCCTTCCTGCCTTTTGCCCCCGCTGCATCTCACTCCCCTCCCAGCAGGCAGCATAGGCAGGGGGCTCAGATCCCCAAACTTCAGGCATTCAGCGTTCTGTGCCAGTGTGGGGGAGCTGCCAGAAGCTGCCTTTGTGGAACCCGTGTGAGTCGGTGCTTTCACTTAGACACCAGTGGCCATTATTTTCACCAGTCTAGTGCTTGATGATCTCCTAGCCAAGGAAAATGCTCTTTGTATGGGTCACACTGCTGTGTACCTGTTCCGCTACCCTGTTCCCATGAGTCGTTACAGATGGTGGTGGCTTCCCTTGTGTAGGAACTGGTGGGGAGCAGCAAGGACAGCCACAGGGCTCTGCTGCATGGTGAGACCACCCTAAGTACTGGCATGGAGGTTTCCATCCTCTATTGCACCTGCAAGCCAGGACCTTGGCATCACCATTGCAGTTATTGCTGGCCCAACTCTGTCGATTAATGTGTCCAAGCTGCTCAAATGATTTACCAGGCACGGTCCCCTTGAAAAAGTCAATGGAAAGGGAGAACTTTATCTCCTACCTCTGACAGAGCCTCAGGTCACGTAAATCACTGCTGCCCTTTTGAAATCTGTTTACGTCAGCCAAGACCCTAAGCCCTGACAGCTGTACTGGGAACAATGTTGAGAAGAAAGAGAGTGCTGTAGGGGTATTAAGAGGCATATCTGTGTGCAGAAGAGTTTAAAAATTGAATGACCCCTTAGGGTCTTCCAGATGGGGTCCTGCCTTGCATGGGGAAAAATACATGACATGACGTGGAGCTGCTCTGCTTAGTGCCCTGACGGTGTGCCAAGGGATGCTGCAGCTCCCTCCCAGCCTTGGTGCGGAGCCCAGTGGGCTCCGAGAGTGCCCGCGGGAAGGGCTGGGGCACGCTCCCTGGTGGCACGGAGAACCAGGCAGATGCTTCATCTTCTGCTGCAGCAAGTGCCATCATTCTGTGAATGTCCTCTGTGGCATGGGGTTTGGTGCAGCGCAGTGTTAGGTGGCACTTCTGTAGCCATGCAAAGAAAAGTCGTGAATAGTCACATTTTTTATCCAGTCAACATGGCATGCACACTGATACATATAGTTGTATATGGTGCCGACAATGGTGAATTGATTTTTTTGCACATATTTTACTGACCTTGGCTGTGAGGTACAAATCAATACTCAGCAGTTACTATACAGAGATAAGAGAATATTATTCGATTATATTCAATTATTGTTACACTGTACAGTTGATACAGAAATTTGAAAAAAAGGGACTTTACCTATCCAGCCAGTAGCAGTTTGATTTATGCTGTGGCTTTTCTTCAGAAGAAATACATATGTATTTTTGATGGAGGCATGACCATTTGTAATGTAAAACTGCATTTTTATTTTGGGGTTTTTTTTTCTTCGTCTGTGTGAGTCTGCATTTTCTGAATTAATGAAAACTTTTTTGCCTTTCATTTAAGTGGGACATGATCAGCTCTGATTTTGCTTCTTGTTTGTCAGTGTTTCTTACGATACTTTTAATGAGCCAGGCTTAAAAAAAGAAGGCATTTACTGCATTTGTTTCCCACTATTTCAGACTGTGTGGTGTCAACGACCACTTGTGGATGTGTACTTCTTTTCCCAGTGGGAATACTGGCAGTTTAGAGTAGTAGACGCACTCGCGTCTGACTCAGTGGTGTTCATACAATGTGCTGCCTGAAATATTAGCAGGCTGAATCTGCAATGTCAGGCAGAAAATGCCTGAACCAAAGTGACTTAAGAATAGACTGTGAGTCAGGGCCGGCAGCTCTGGTTTCCATAATAGACACAATTAGAAGAAATATAGAATGTTATTTATTTTTTTGAATAGGATGTGGGGGGGAGAGAGACAGGGGGGAACCGTCAATTTGTGCGTCTGGACGCTAAATAGAAATGTTTATAAATGATTAGTTGAATTTGCTGATGCATTCATTAGCGAAACCCTTGTCAGCGGCTGGGAAAGTGAGAGGAGCTGTGAACAGAGAACAAGAGGCGGCTCATAAAGGCAAGTGAGACTGAACGGCAGCCAAGGGAGAGGAGTAATCGGCAGGGCAGCGCGGAGGCGCTGGGGGAGGACCAGGCTGACATGCTCCCGCTACTTTTTTTTTTCCCCCTTCTCTTCGGAGGCCCATCAAGCGACTCCCCTTTTGTGCTAATCTGAGCAAGCAAAAAAAGTTTGCTTAATTAAAAGCCTGTCTTTTCTTCCTTCTCTAAAGGGGCCAGAGGAAAATAGCATGCTCTTCTGAGGGAGAGGGAGGGCTGGGAACGCCTGGTCGGGTCTCACCCCGACAATCCCGCTCACTGTTAAGAAGTAGGACAGTGAGTCAGTTCATTCAAGTGGATGCTGTTTATTCAGTGGGACATTCTTCCTGTAAAACTCCTAATAAAACGAAAGCCTCGCCTACGCAGTGGGGAAGGGGAAAGGGTTTTGTGCACAGACTGTTTATTTACAGACACTTTCTGGAAAAAAAGGTGAGAAGAAGAAAGGAGGAAAGGAAAAGGAAAGTAAGGTGCAGAGCTATAAACACGTTTGGGAGTAAACTGGGGCTGGTACAGTCTAGCCTGTCACCTTTTCCGTCATACATCCCGCTCCTAAGCTGTTATAATAAACCTTGCCTGTTAAAAACAAGCAGTTTGCTAGAGCTTTCAAAATGATTGCTTTGCTGTGGTTATTTGCAGAGTACAGACGGGTGCCTGAAGCTTTTATTCCTGATGAGAACTACAGATGCTGGCCATCTTACCATCATAAGGGCTGCCTCCTCTCTGTGTTTGACGTCAATGAAGCCATTGAGATCTGTGACAGCTACTCCCAGTGCAAAGCTTTTGTCTTAACTAACCAGACGACTTGGACAGGTAGGTCGTGGATGCTGAGCAGAAAAAGCATCCGAGTCACGTATTCTGGCTGCTTTAAGTGTTCTAATACAGTTTGGGGAGCGTGCTGCGACGGGCTGTAGGAGCCACCGGCAGCAGCTAGAAGTTTCTGAAGCTCCAGCTGAGGTGGTTTGATTTTTGGTGGGGCTTTGGTGCCTGCTGTCAGGGGAGCAGGAACCTGCGGGTGGGCTCAGAGGAGCTGGCACCAGAGGGCTGCAGCACCTGGACCGTAGGTCTCCAAACCACGGAGTCTGAAATTTTATTTTAAAACACAGCAGCAGAAACAACAACAAAAGCCTGTGACCTGTTTCCGCAGTTAAATGTGCAGGACGTTGTCCAACATCTGGATTTAAATAAATGTTTCCAATCCGTATGGTTGTTGTGGTTTGACACAAAACCAAACAGGTTCTCCCATGCATCTAGCTGGGACTTCCCGGCTGGTGTCAGAGATGCCCTGCTGCTGGTGGGAACACGGTGCTTCTAGCAGTAGGGCTTTGGCTAAAGGACAGTGAGGAGGGAGGGTTTAAAACCAGGTAGAAGTAGAAGTAGAACTTGCAGGGGAAAATCCCATTTGCTACCACAACTCATGTTCTTGCCTAACAGAATACACTTGTTGAAAAGAGAAATACATTTTCCAAAAGGCCTGTGGGCCTGGCAGTCCCCATGTGGTTCCCCTGAAGGCAAGCAGTTGGTGCCGATTGACATCAAGCGGAGAATTGGCCCTGGCTTGCTGCTTCTGCTCCAGACCTGTGCCTATTTCAGGCAACTCCAGAGCAATCTGAGAAAATGTCACAAGTCTCTGTAAAAACCTCCAGTAGCTGCACCTCCGGAGCAGCTGAGGGGTTCAGAGCTGAATGCCGCAGCTGGCTCCCAACCCTGCGCCCCCTCCCTGCGTGCCCAGGAGAGCTGCGTGCCCCCACGGCTAGCCCCGGCCAGCTCAGCTTGCAGTGTTCCCCTCAGCACACTGCACCCCTTGAAGGGTGAAGAAAAAAGACATGTTTGTGCCTATAAGGTGCAGTGGACCAAATCTGTGTTCTTTCGTAATCTTCCCCTGAGATAAAACGCCTACTGAAGTTAGGGTGAGTTTTTCTTCTGTGTGCTGTCCCCACACTTACGGGGCTGTTTCCCTGCCTGCGGTTGCCATTTTCTGCTGGGGCCAGGTTGGCTCCCCTGCTCCTGTCTTTGAGAGGAAGGGTGGCTGATGCTAGCCAAACCTAGGGAAAGCTGATTGAAGTCCTTGCTCTGCCACAGACTTTAGTGTGGCAAGTTATTTAGGCTCTGAGGCTCAGCTTTCTGTCTGTACATCTGTGATCACATGTCTTCACCTTCAAGTCAAAACTTACCCTGTGTGCAGTTGGGTGCTTTGGTTGTGCTTAGTTGAGAAACATAAATGCGCACCCAAGTCCCCAGCTCTGAAAGCATCACAAATGAGTAAAAACTTTAGACAGTTCATAAGTTTCAGAATGTTTTAGGCAGTGTACTGCTATGGCTTTCTGCATTTCTTGTGCTTCTGAGAGGTTTGAACAGAGACTTTCATGCAGCCTAGAAAAAACTGTATTACCTTTGCCTGTGGCTAACCAGTGACTACTAGCTCATCATGTCAGACTATTTTTGGTTAGACTATTGAAGTTAATTAATATACTAAAAAGGTAGTTATGGCGCAGGGGAATTCACAGGAATTTTAGAGCAGCTTCTGTCTCAGATTATAAAATTAAAAGTAAATGAGACATAGTAGCAGTATTTCTAGTTTTGCTTATCATTCCCTTTACCGTGCCATTCCTGATGCGTGAGCACTTGAGTCCTTGAAATCTGCAGCATGGAAATTTGCTCAGTAGTTGAGGCATCCCGTGTGTGATACTTTTTAAGAAAATAGCGTTATGGGAGCCCCCTAGAGAAGCAGGGTGGGAGTAAATAGCATTTGGTTTTCTGAAGTTTAGAGAGAGGGAAGGCAGACGTTGAATAGCTGTGGAAAATCTCTCTGTGGCTTCTGCTCCAAAGAAAGGCAATGACAGCGCGGGTCCATGGGATGGCAGGTGCTCATCGAGAGGCAGGGGTGTGAATAAGATGCCAGGTCAGTAAGCATGGGGAGATACAAGAGCTGTGCTGCGGCTCCCACAAATGCTGCTGAGTGAAACCACCAAATTCAGCCCCCACTGGCCTCGGGTGTGTCTGTGGCAGGCGCCTTACACTGCCCAGGCTGTTAGTACGTGCTGGCGCTTTTTGTATGAGAAGTAGAAACCTTGTTCCAGCTTGCTTAAAACCCAGACCTACGAAGTGATCGGCAAGAGCTATTTCAGAGAAAGTCATGTTTAACCTACATTGCATTGATGAGTTTTGCAAAGATTCAAGCGTGCAAAGATGATTCTGCTCCTGTACAATCAAATGAATGCCCTGAACTGAAGCTTGTTTTTATCAGTCAGAGAGTCTTTAAATAGGTTTTTTTAAAGGCCATGTGAAATTTGTATTAAACTCTTCAGACCTGTCCTTCATTTACTGTGTTAGCTGTGCGCAGCAGTAACTTGACCGTAATTAGTAAGAGTAAGCCTACTGAAGGCAGGGGAGATTCAGTGTCATTTTAGATGAAAGCATTTCAGTTTTATACCAGGTGAAGTTAAGAAAGATTTTACTCTTGGGTTGCCTGAAAAATGCATAGGTTGAAGAAGAACATGAAATGTCAATATTTTAAAGTTTGCAACCTTTTGCTCATCACTTCTAAATAATTTTTTTCCTCCCCCCCCCCCCCCCCCCCCCCCCCCCCTGCTGCCGCG